TGTACACAGACCAAGAGGCAGTTGTACGAACAGAACAAGGGGATTCTGGATGGTTTGAAATCAGACAGGGTGTGCATCAAGGTTGTGTCCTTTCACCATACTTATTCAATCTGTATACTGAGCAAATAACCCAAGAAGGTGGACTATATGAAGAAGAATATGGCATCAGGATTGGAGGAAGATTCATTAACAACCTGTGATAAGAACTTGAAGCATTTACTGATGAAGATCAAAGACTACAGCCTTCAGTATGGGTTACACCTCAACATAAAGGAAACAAAAATCCTCGCAACTGGATCAATAAGCGATATCATGATAAATGGAGAAAATATTGAAGTTATCAAGGATTTCATTTTACTTGGATCCACAATCAGCACTCATGGAGGCTGTAGTCATGAAATCAAACAACATACTGCGTTGGCAAATCTGCTGCAAAAGACATCTTTAAAGTGTTAGAAAGCGAAGATGTCACTTTGAGGACTAAGGTGCACCCGACTCAAGCCGTGTTATTTTTAATCGCCTTCTATGCGTGCAAAAGCTGGACAATGAATAAAGTAGACCAAAGAAGAATCGATGTCTTTGAATTATGGTGTTGGCAAAGAACATCAACTATACCATGGACTGCCAGAAAAACGAACAAACATGCCTTGGAAGACGTACAGCCAAAATGCTCCTTAGAAGCCACGATGGTGAGATTTTGTCTCTTATGCTTTGGACATGTTATCAGGAGGTACCAGTTCCTAGAGAAGGACATCATAATTAGTAAAGCAAAGGGTCAGTGAAAAAGAAGAAGACCCTAGACAAGATGGATTGACTCAGTGGCTGCAACAATGGGCTCAAACATAGCAATGACTGTGAGGATGGTGCAGGACCAGGCAGCATTTTTTTCTGTTGTACATGGGGTCGCTATGAGTTGGAACCAACTCAATGGCACCTAACAACATCAATGACAGCATTAATAATAATGAAGCCATTAGAAAATATCCATACTGCTTAACTGGATTTTAAGGAATACAGTTTTAAATAATCCATGGTCAAAGAAGAAATTACAATGGAAATTACAATGTATTTTGAACTGAATGATAAAAAAATTACAACTTAAAAAAAAAGTACTGGGAGATTGAAGAGAACAGGATACAAGGAAAATATTAGTCCAAAGGACTAAGGGACCACAGCTACCAAGGCCTCCACCAGACTGAGTCCAGTACAACTAGATGGTTCCCGGCTACCACCACTGTCTGCTCTAACCGGGATCACAACAGAGGGTCCTGAACAGAGCTGGAGAAGGATGTAGAACAAAATTCTAACTCACAAAAAAAAAAGACCAGATTTACTGTCCTGACAGAGACTGAAGAAACCCTGAGAGTATTGTCCCCGGACACCCTTTTAGCTCAGTGTTGAAGTCACTCCCGAGGTTCACCATTCAGCCAGGGATTGAACAGCACCATAAAACAAAACAGGACTAATGAGGCACAGCAGTCCGGGAACAAGGACTAGAAGGCAGGAGGGGAAAAAAAAAAAAAAAAAAAAAAACAGAAAGAAAAAGTACAAGTACATACTATCCATCAATATAGATTGGTGAGATGCAGCCTTAGTCCTACTTAGAAGATATTTTATAGCATTAAAAGTACGTACTAAAAAGGTACAAAAGGCTTCACTGGTGATTTTTCCAAATATTTATAACACCAATCCTAAACAAAATCTTTCCAACAATAGAAAAAATAACATTTCTCAATTTATTTTATTAGGCTAGCTTCGCCTTGATACTATAACCTGACAAGAAGAAAAACTACAAGCCAAGCCAAGCTCTCACATGAATAGAAGCAAAATTCCTAAACAAAATATTATCAAAATGAATCCAGTAATAGAGAATAAAGATAATACATCACAGAGAGTACGTTTTATGCTGGGAATGCATGACTGTTTTATCATTGAAAAGTCAGACATTGATGTTGATAGGTGCTCAATAGTTATTTGTTGAATGAACAATGAATAACTAATGATTGAGTGCATAAAAGTGCAGGACATCAATTGAATACCAGGTTCATGAAATAACTGATCAGACTCTAGTTCCTGTGATCCTGTTCTCTTCCAGCCCCCAGTGGGCAAGGGAAGAGTGAAGACTCCCCTTAGGGAAGTATAGGCAGGTGTGTCAGTCAGGGGATGTCCCATGGGTACCTCCTTCCTTCTTTAAGGTGGAAACCTAGGGTAGTTTTCAGAGCCTGGGCTATAGGGAATGAACTTTGTCCTGAAGTCAATTCATTAATTTTGGCTTACTACTTGGTGTGGAGTTTCTTTCTATTTCCCAGGCTCATTATGAGCTGAATGGAATGTCCCAAGACCTCTGCTCGGGGACTAGAGGTATAAACCTGCGACATGAGCTCATCATCAATTTTCTGAGAACAGGAGAATATCTTGGATGGTTAGTTTTCTAAATTTTTATTTGGGGCCATAGAGTTACGGGGACAATGTGTGTAAGGAGCCTTCCTCAGCAGAACACTTGCTCAAGGATTGCCCTGAAGACCGAATCTTTGGCTCTGACCTGTATCTGCTAAGATATACTGAGTGGAGTGGAAGGAGCAGAAAGGAGGTGGGAATTGCTGAAAAGGGTGAGGGGGGACCCAGTGGATGAAGGTGACCAGGAAGTGGGAGAAGTCAATCTGACTTCAGGTTTTAGCCTGGAGAGAGTCAGGTGAGAACTGTACAGAGAAAACTCCTTGCTGCCGACTGACAAAGGCTGTCAGCACTGGAGACCAGGAAGATGGTATTCTTAGTTTTCTAGGACAGAATTTCTATCATTGTTCATCCATTCCTCAGTCACACCAGGTAGTTCCAAAGTCGCCAGGCAGATCTGTTGACTTCTTGCCACTGTGTGCCTGTCTCATGTGGTATGGGTGGTCATGTTCCACACCTTGGCCCGCACCGATCTTGGACTGTAACTTCCTGTGCTGTGCTCTGTCTCCCTTTGCTGGCATATCTCTGTAACTCTCTATGTCATAGGCTTTTCCCTATCTGCTTCTATGACCTAACTCTAGATAGCTTTCTCCCTGCTGGCAACAAGAGAGTGGAGTTATCCACACAGGTTGCCCTATACCAATGCATGTAAACCTATTTCCCCATCCGAATCACCTGGGAAGCTTTTAAAAAACCATATATGAGAGGGGCCCCATCTCAAACCCAGTGAACCAGAACCCCAGGAGGTGAGATCAAGGCATCTGCATTTCTAGCATCTTCAGATGTCCCAGAGACATAACTAGGATTGAGAATGCCAGTCATGTCTATAGGTCCCCCGGATGCCTCTGTGTATCTTACTCTTGTTTCTTTCTTTCTTTCTTTCTTTTTTTTGTTTGTCAGTATCCTCCTATTACAAACTGTCAATAATCTTTGTCTCACTTTGGCAGTCTTTCCAGTTTATATTAGGAGACATTCTTGAATTCTGAGTGTGACACTACAGAAGCCAGAGGCACATTCTCCAGCAATGCACCCTCAGAGGCTCACTGTTTGTGAACACTGGTCCATCCCTTCCTTTGTAAATTCAGTGAAGGTGTCTTGAATGCCTGCTCGAGGTTATGCACTGTGCTGGGTGAGTGATGAATAACTGTGGCATTCCCCCAGGCCCTGCCCTAATATAACCCATGGTCCACATTACAAGGTGGGATGAATTGTTGGGATGTGTCCAGAGAGGCATTTCTGAGGTTCTCATGAGGTGTTTGACATCGACATTTAGCTCTGTTACAGTGCTTGCCTGTTGCCCCCTCTCCTTCCTCCTTCTCTCTTTTTGGTCCCCCCAGTACTTCACTTCCCCTCTGTGTAGCAAAGAATTTAACCTTTCCCTAAATGAGGTCTGGCCTCTGCCCTCAGCTTTCTGGGAGGTGATTTCTAAGCCCTTGGCATGTCATGCCTGATAAAAGTATCTTTGTTTACCTGGGGGAGTTGGGTCACACTGGATAGTCTAACAATGTGATTTAGGGTGGAGAATGGTTACGCTAAGTAGTAGCAATGTGATTTAAGGTGGGGGCTTTGAATCACCTACTATCAGCTCAACCAGAGGGGCTGGCGACTGAGGTCAGTCACATAGGCAGTGGACCATAGAGTTCCTGTAAAGACTCTGGACACCAAGGCTTGGGGTAACTTTCCTGGTTGGCAATACTCCACGCATATCATCACACATCAATACTGAGAAAGTAATACTATTCTAACTCCATGGGAAGAGGACAACTGGAAACTCTGCGTTTGGTATTTTCTTGGACGCTGTCATATGCACTTCATCCATTGGCTGATTTTATTTGCATCCTTTAGCTGTAATAAACTGTTTGCTATTGTTATTGTCATTAAGTTGATTCTGACTCATGGTGATCCCATGTGTGCAGAGTGGAACTGCTTTATAGGGTTTTCGAGGCTTTGAACCTTCAGAAGCAGATTGCCAGGACTTTCTTTTGAGGTGCCTCTGAGTGGATTCAAACTGCAACCTTTAGGCTAGTAGTAGAGAGCTTAACCATTTGCACTACCCAGGGACCCTTTAATAAACTGTAACCATGAAGATAATAGCTTTCAGTGAGTTCTGTGGGTCCTTCTAGCAAATTGTCAAACCTAAGGTTCGTTATGGGAACCCCCAAAGTTGTAGTTGGTGTCAGATGTGAAGGTGATCTTGTATGGACTGTTCCCTCTAACTTCTCAGTTAGCTAAACTCTCACATCATTCCTCTTAAATCCATTCCCCCCTTCCTATTTCTATAGTTATCCACATGCCACTTAAAACCCCTTCTCTTCTCTGGTCACTCCTGCCTCTGTGCCCTGTTTTCTACAGTCTTTCAAGAGAAATAAGGATCAAATCTTGCTTGGTAACCATGAAGGGCAGCTGAGATGAAATGGATTTTCATTGCAGGAGGAGAGGATGGGAGCTATGTCAGAGATCTGGGCTCTATGCTTTAGAAGAAATGGGAAATTGTTATTTTCCATGTATGATGGAGATGCCAGAGTCAGGGCCTTGGATCTCATGGTATGCTAAACCTTCCCACAACAACAGCCCAGGATGATATATTTTTTTATTTGTTTGTTTCTCAGGGTCACTACCATGGAGCTCTGGAACCACACCACCGTAACGAACTTCATCCTTTCAGGCCTGTTCAGCCACACACTATATGACTTCTTCCTCTTTTCCCTGGTCCTTCTTGCCTCCATGGCCTCACTGGCTAGCAACATCTTCTTCCTACTTCTTATCCAGGCCAGTGTGCACCTGTACATCCCTATGTACTTTTTCCTGAGTCAGTTCTCCATCACGGACCTGACCATGATGAGCACTGTTGTGCCCAAGATGGCAGGCAACTTTCTTTCAGACAGTAAGATTATCTCTCAGGGAGACTGTGGGGCTCAGATCTTCCTAGTGGTCATGGTAGGAGGAGCTGAGTGCTTCCTCCTGGCAGTCATGGCTTATGATCGGTACGTGGCAATCTGTCACCCACTGCGGTACCCTGTGCTCATGAACTGGAAGGTCTGCTCTCTCATGACCATGGCTTCTTGGATGGGTGGGGTGGCAGATGGTGTGATTGACGTGAGCATGGTCTTCAGCTTCCCCTACTGCAGCTCTCAAGAGGTAGACCGCTTCTTCTGTGAGGTCCCTGCCCTGCTGCACATCTCTTGTGCTGACACCTCGCTCTTTGAGGACCTCATCTATGCTTGCTGTGTGGTCATGCTGCTGCTGTCCCTTGGGATCATTGTGGCTTCTTACGTTTGGGTTCTCACAGCTGTGATTAGGATGCCCTCCACTGAGGGGAAACAGAAGGCTGTAAGTACTTGCTCCTCCCACCTGGCTGTAGTGGGCCTCTACTATGGGGGAGTCATATTTAGCTATATGCAGCGGGCTTCCTCTAGGACACTGACTGGAGACCGAGGCACCTCCATCTTTTACACCATCCTCACCCCATTGCTCAACCCACTCATTTACAGCCTGAGGAACAAGGAGGTAATGAGGGCCCTGAAGAAGATGCTGGGGAGATGGGGAGTGTAGGCACACAGGCTTTTCTGGGGCTTCCTCTACTCTCTCTTGGTCTGCCCCTTCCTCCATAAGCTCAGGATCTCCAGTGGCTCATATTTTTCGTCTCTGTCACAGGGGGGAAGAGTTCAGCTACTAACCAAAAGGTCGGCAGTTTGAATCCACCAATTGCTCCTTGGAAATCCTTTGGGACAGTTCTACTATGTCCTATAAGGTCACTATGAGTCGGAATTGACTCGATGGCAACAGGGTTGGCCATCTCTGGCTGGTTGAGACAAGCCGGGAGCTAAGTAATCTGAAAATATTTGGGATACTTGGAAGGAAGATGCCAAGGTAGCTGATGGTACTTGATCAGTGTCACAATGAATGTCTCCATTGAGCACCACTATTTCCATGGAATCAGGGCCCATTGTAAATTAAAAAAAAAAAAAAACAGCAGATACATTATTTATATTCTCTCTAGGGCTGGTAGGGGCAACCATTCTTCTCACTTGCATGTTAAAAGTGAGGGAGGCATGGTAACTGATTCAGAACTCAGCTTGGCTCATTTGAGTACTGAAGTGGGTGCAGTGCACAGAGCTTGAGTCTCACACGTGGGAGGTGTGAGACATTGGACAAAGTCACTTCTCTCTCTAGGTTTCACTTTATTCATCTGTATGATCATGTTGTTGTCAGGTGTTGTCGAATCGATTCCGACTCATAGCAACTCTTGTACAACAGAACGAAACACCGCCTGGTCCTGAGCCATCCTCATGATCGTTGTTATGCTTGAGCCCATTGTTGCAGCCACTGTGTCAATCCATCTCGTTGAGGGTCTTCCTCTTTTCGCCGACCCTCTCCTTTACCAAGCATGATGTCCTTCTCTAGGGACTGGCCCCTCCTGATAACATGTCCAAAGTATGTGAGACAAAGTCTCACCATCTCACTTCTAAGGAGCATTCTGGCTGTACTTCTTCCAAGACAGATTTGTTCATTCTTTTGCCAGTCCATGGTATAGTCAATATTCTTTGCCAACACCATAATTCAAAGGCGTCAATTCTTCTTTGGTGTTCCTTATTCATTGTCTAGCTTTCACATGCACATGAGGCAATTGAAAACACCATGGCTTGGGTCAGGCACACCTTAGTCTTTAAAGTGACATCTGTGCAGTATTTGATATTCATAAGGTTTTCACTGGCTAATTCTTTTCATAAGTAGACTGCCAGGTCCTTCTTCCTGGTCTGTCTTAGTCTAGAAGCTCAGCTGAAACCTGTCCACTACAGGTGACCTTGCTGGTATTTGAATATCGGTGGCATAGCTTCCAACATCACAGCAACACACAAGCCCCCACAGTACGACACACTGACAGACACATGGAGGTGTGTGATGATAGCTACTGGTAATGTAAGTCTAACATTCCCTAATAGTTACATGTGCTCACTAATTATTGTTGGTCCCAGGGTGATGCAAATGGTTAATGTGCTCAGCTGCTAACCAAAAGGTTGGAAGTTCAAGCCCAACCAGAGGTGCCTCAGAAGAATGGCTTGGTGATCTATTTCTGAAAAATTAGCCATTGAAATCCCTATGGAGTACAGTTCTACTGTGACATACATGGGGTCTCTGTGAGTTGGAGTTGACTCAACAACAACTATTTTTTAAGTTATTATTGAGTCTTATTCCTATCTGTAAGGCAAACTCCATTTTTATGTATCTTATTTTTTAAGCTTGTATCTTCTTACAGTTATACTTTAAATACAGATATGAATGTATAAAATCTAAAAAACAGCCAGAAAGTTTTTATATCCTTCCCACCAGCATAACACCATGGAAGGTTACAGAGACTACAAATGTGTCACTCCATGAAATCAAGGAGTTTGGGGGGTAGTTGAGTCTTTATCATTGAGACCAAAAATGCAACAGTACTAAGGGGTGAGGAGGAGACCCATGGCCAGAACTGGTGGAGGTTTCGATCACGGGGACTCTGGAGGGATTTGGGAAATAATTTCTTAATAAATGTTTTTCTACCATGATCTCCTTGAACAGGCCGGACCAAACATTTTCACTCAAACAGTCAATCACATTGCTCCCAAGAGATTCACATTCATTTCCTGAGACCCTGTGGGGCATTGGGTACGTGTGGCACGTGCACACAATGGTGAAGCGTGGTCCAGCCCTCAGGGAGTTTAGAGTCTGGCTGATTCTAAAAAGGAGTGTTCTAGGCAGAGGAGACAACTGAGCAAAGGCTGAGAGCAAAGTGTTCTAGAGTGAAGATAACCAGGGAGAGAGTGAAGGGGAGCTGATCTGAGAGGTAACAGGGACCACATCACCTAGGGCCTGATAGGCCAGTGGAAGGAGTTAGGGTTGTGACCCGTCATGGATTGAATTGTGTCCCCTCAGAAAATGTGTGTAGCAAATTGGCGAGGTCATGATTGCCAGTATTGTATGATTGTGTTATCTGATGTGATTTCCTTATGTGTTGTAAACTCTATCACTATGATGAGATTATATGTGATCTCCTTATGTGTTGTGAATTCTATCACTGTGATGAGGTTATACTGATGAGGTTGACAAGATTAGATAGTGTCTTAATGCAATCTCTTTTGAGATATAAAAGAGAGAAGCGAGCAGAGACACATGGGAACCTCATACGACCAAGAAATCAGTGCCGAGAGCAGAGCGCATCCTTTGGACCTGAGGTTCCTCTGCAGAGAAGCTCCCAGACCAAGGGAAGACTGATGACACGGACCTTCCTCCAGAGCCAACAGAGAAAGCATTCCCCTGGAGGTGACATCCTGAATTTGGACTTGTAGCCTACTGGACTGTGAGAGAATAAACTTCTCTTTGTTAAAGCCATCCACTTGTGGTGTTTCTGTTAGAGCAGCACTAGAAGACTAAGACATGACCCTAATACTCCTCAGCATATTTTCTCCTTTTCAAAATGAGCTACTGAGAGCTTGATATAACTAATGCTATGATGAACCTATAAGTTTTTTTTTCTTTGCCTTCTCCTTTTCGCATATCTTTGTTAATGACTTTGTTTTGCTCTGTCCAGCCACCTGTGGCTTACGACCCCCCACAGGAAGATTAGAGCCCAGATGTCAGATATGGAAATGTCCAGCATGTGTCTCTTTAATATGATAAAGAGTCTCTTATAATTACCTTGTAATGAATAAGGACACTTCTAACTTTTGTAAAAATCATATATAAGCTGTAATGTAAAAATGCCTCTCGGGACTCCATAGAGACAGCCTGCGTTGCTGTTGGATCCCCCATGGTGTACGCTTCTAAAATAAAACTTTCTCACTCTTTCTGACTTGGCGTATGTTTCATTGGCTCGACTGCTCCAGGACACAGACCCTATTCAGGTAACAGGGTTTTGAGCCGAGGAAAGACATGATCTGCAATAAGATTCAATAGAATCACCCTGGTCTCTAAGGGTCCATCATAGAAGGCTCCTGTAGTAATTCTCTTGAGAGATGATGGCACTTAGACCAGGGTGGAAATAATAGAGGTGGCGAGAAGTGCTCAGGTTCTGGATACATTTTGAAGGTCAAGCCAACAGGGTTTTCTGAGATAAAAATGAGGCTAATGATAATAACCATCTCACAAGGTTTTAGGAGGGATAAAACGTGAAACTGCATTTTACGTGCTTGGCACTGTGCTTGAGCTTTTTTTTATTTTCATAACTATTTCCATAAAACGCGCTTTGTTCAGTATCAGTGCATTTCTTAAAAAAAACTGTGACATACAATTGTAGTATGCCATTTAAGGAAGCAAATTTTCCAAATTGGTCTCTATATCTTCTATGCATTTTTGAGATGGATGCATTTATAGACCAATACTTATAAAAAGCCCAACATTTATTCTGGAACTTCTCAGATCCTGTCCAAGGAGGGGTCCGCCACCTCCTCCCAGGTCCGCAGGCAGCACTGCCCGCCCTCTCCAGATCCAATCGGACCTCACACCGCTGTCCCCACCTCCCTGACTACCTTGCCGTGTCAGCTCCGTGCTCCTCCCCATTGTTCGCAGCTGCAAGTTGCCCTGAGCGTACCAGACCAGTCCGGCCCCTGGGCCTGCTGCCCGCGCCCTCAGAAGTTCCAGGGGACGTGACCAGTGGGTGGGCCCTGTAGGGCGCTCCGTGGCGCGCTGGGCTGGCCGACAGGACAGATGGCGCGGGCAGCCAAGGCAGACAGGACCACTGGTGCATCCACGCTGGCCCTCCTCCATAAGTATGGCAATAGCTGTTTTCATATTATATTGTGGTTGTTGTAGACACCTCCAAATTTTATGTTTATCATTTATTGTACCTACTGCTAAATCTTATTTCGTGTGATAATAAGCACATATTACAATTTAGTTGAACCATATAAAAATTACTGCTATTAGACCATTTTTGACATAGAAAAATGGTGACTTCATATGGCCTGCTTAATGCCATTAATGCATGTGGTTTAATTTTGATAACCATATATTAATATACTGTCTTCCCTTTGTAATCCTATGTATTTTATTTTGTATCTTTACAAACATTCCGAGAACTGCCTGATCCTTCAGGCTGCCAAAGCAGTCCATGGTACATGACACAATGGCTCTCCTCCCTGGATGCACATTAAAAAGTCACCTGCAAGTCATAAATGTTTTTACTTGGGTCTCGACTTAGGGCTTTCAATGTAATTGGTCTGGGGTAGGGCCAAGGCAACTTTAAAAAGCTATCCACATGGTTCTGATATGTAACCAAAGTTTGGAACCATTGCTTGCAATTACCTCTTTCCACCACCCTGCTCCCCTTCAAATCTTGGGTCAGGGAGAATAAATTGACATTACCCACTAGCTCAACTGGGTAAGTAACAGAGTATTGTACAGCCCTCTTTTTTCCAGCACATTATCAACAAACTCTAGAAAGGCCCATACTCTCTTGGCTTTGTTCAAGGTGTCTCCTCAACTTGAATGTGCTTAAAGGTCATCTAATATGTTTGCTGATGGCATAGACGTTGGAGTCTCCCTCCAGAGGTTCTGACTTAGCAACGGGCTCAGGA